CATTCTTGAGTTGCTGGGATTGAGATTATTATTCACCATTTTACCTTGATGATTTAATTTACATCTTCCGCATTTGCGTATCTGAGCCCAACAAGTGGTATCAGAGCACAACTTGGGCTCTATATCAACCAGTGTGAATTAATGGAGGAGAACGTGGGTACCATGGTGAAACTCACAGCAACAAATTACTCCATTTGGAAGCCAAAAATGGAGGACATACTTTTCTACAAAGATCTGTACGATCCTGTAGAAAAGGGAGACAACAAGCCAGATGATGTGAAGGATGACGATTGGAAAAAGTTACACAGAAAGGCTGTCAGTTTAATCCGACAGTGGGTGGATATCAGCATATTCCACCATGTTACCACAGAGTCGAAAGCCCATACTCTGTGGAACAAAATTGAACAAATGTACCAGAGGAAGACTGCACAGAATAAAGCTTTCGTCATTAGAAAGCTTGTAAATCTAAAATATCGGGATGGAAGACCAGTTGCAGAACACTTGAATGAGTTTCAAGACATGGTGAACCAACTTGCTACCATGGAGATGAAACTTGATGAAGAATTGCAGGCGCTGTTACTTTTGAGTTCTTTACCGGATAGCTGGGAGACTCTGGTGGTCTCGCTGAGCAATTCTGCCCCTGAAGGAAAACTAACTTTGACCCAAGTCAAAGACAGTATGTTTAATGAAGAAACAAGAAGAAAAGACTCAGGGGCAAGCTGCTCCCAAGCCCTGGTCACAGAAACCAGAGGGAGAAGCAAAAGCAGAGGCCGGAATAACAAATCCAGAGATAAATCGCAGTCTCAACCCAGAAGAAAATTCAAGTGTTATCACTGCGGCGAAGAAGGACATATCAAAAGAAACTGCAAAGCCTGGAAGAACAGAGATCGAAGGAACAAATCAGAGAACGATGAAAATACCGCAACTCCTGTGATCAATGGGGAAGTGGTGTTGCTCTCTGTTGAAGAAGAAGAGTGTCATGTTGCAGATTCATGTGTTGAATGGGTCATTGACTCAGCTGCATCCTACCATGCAACTTCTCACAAGGAATTCTTTTCTCTATACAAAGAAGGAGACTTTGGTAGAGTAAAGATGGGCAACAACAGTATTGCAAATATTGTGGGAGTTGGTGATGTGTGCATTCAAACTGATATTGGGTGCACAATAACACTGAAGGATGTGCGACATGTACCTGACTTACGTCTGAATTTGATCTCTGTGCATGCATTGGATCTAGTAGGCTATACTAACAACTTTGGTAGCGGCACGTGGAGGCTTACCAAAGGATCATTGTTAGCTGCTAGAGGTACAGTGAGATCGACACTGTACAGAACTCAAGTGAAGCTGGTCAAAGGTGGATTGAATGCAGTCGAGGATGATGCTTCACCAAATTTGTGGCACAGAAGACTGGCCCATATTGGTGAAAAAGGATTACAAATTTTGGCAAGAAAGTCCCTCATCCCATTTGCCAAAGATTCAAAACTAAATCCTTGTGATTATTGTCTCTTTGGGAAGCATCATAGAGTGTCTTTCAGCAAAACCTCAAAGCTGAAAGAGAATATTTTGGAGATGGTGTACTCTGATGTATGTGGACCCATTGAAGTGGAGAGTCTCGGTGGTAGCAGATATTTCGTGACGTTTATTGACGATGCTTCACGAAAATTGTGGGTATATTTCTTGAGAACAAAGGACGAAGTTTTCAAGTACTTCAAAAGGTTTCATGCTATGGTGGAGAGACAGACTGGTAAACCTTTGAAG